CCCCCCATTCCCACCGCCCCCAATCCCCATTTTCCCCGGCGCCAAACTCACCGGTAAACCAGGATCTCGTCTCCGGAGCTGTTGTACTGGATCTGGTACATCCTCAACCCTTCCAGCTCGTCCTGCGGCGGCCACCGCACCAGCGCCGACGTCGCCGTCACCTCGGCCACCACCACCCCCCCGGCGTCCCCGCGCTGCGCCTCGGAGTCGTTGGAGAAGCCGGACTTGGCCGAAACCAGGATATCGGACGGCTCCGGCCGCGCCGTCGCCGCCGCCTTCCTCCTCGCCCCGTCCTCCTCCTCCTCCTCGCACTCGGTGCCGTTGCCGTCCGGCACCACGCGGAGCTCCACGGGCGCCGTCGACTCGCCGGCGGCGTTGGAGGCGATGCAGGTGAAGGTTCCTTGGTCGCCCGGCGCCGCCTCCAGAATATCCAGAGTGCCGTTCTCGTAGGAGACCGTCCTGGAGGTGTTGGCCACCAGCTTGCCGTCGGGCGCGATCCAGCGCACGTAGGGCTCGGGGTCGCCCACGGCTTTGCACTTGAGGGAGGCGCCGCGGCCGACGGCGGCGGCCAGCGCGGGCGTGCGGTGGGTGATCATGGGCGGCTCGCAGACGAACTCCTCCTCGCGGATGCTCCAGAAGTATTTGCCCATCAGCTCGGGCGGCGAGGCGCACGTCTCCAGGTCGTCCTCGCGCGTCAGGCGCCGCAGCCACACCAGCTCGCAGTTGCAGTGCAGCGGGTTGCCGCCGAAGCTCAGCACCAAGGAGGTCAGCGGAGAGCCTTTGGATTTGGCGTAAACCGGCACGCGGGAGAAGAGCGGGTCCGGCGGGATCTTCTTCAGCTTGTTGGAGGTCATGTCCAACCTGGCCAGCTTGTGGAGGTTGGAGAAAATCCCCTCGGGCACGAACTCGATGAGGTTGTGATCCAAGCTCACCGTGTTGACGTTGGACAGCTTGGCCACCGTGGCCCAAGGGACGTCCACCAGATTATTGTAGGACAAATCCAAATCCTCGATGGTCTCCAAGAAATCGTCCAAGGACCTGGGCGAGATGAAGCTCAGCTGGTTGTTGCTGAGGATCAAGTGGCGCAGGTTGACCAACCCCTTGAAGTGCTCCTCGTGGATGGACGTCAGGCGGTTGCTGTCCAGGTGGAGCGCGTGGAGGCCCTTGAGGTCGGCGAAGGCGTAAGGCATGATCTGGCTGATGGTGTTGCGCGACAGCGTCAAGTGGATGAGTTGGGTCATGTTGGCGAAGTCGCGCCTGCGCAGGACCGTGATGAAGTTGTCCATGAGGCGCAGCTCGGCCGTGCGCCGGTCGATGCCGGGCGGCACGAAGAGCAGCCCGGTCTTGGTGCACAGGATGGTGAAGGACGGCGAGAGGTTCTGGCACGAGCAGCGCCGGGGGCACGGCGGCGCCGGCGAGGCGGCCGAGGGCAGGAACAGGAGCAGAGGCAGCAGGAGCCTTGCCATCGTCGGGAAAAACGGGAATCTGGCAGGGAAAAGTGGGAAAAATGTGAGAAANGCCGAGGGCAGGAACAGGAGCAGAGGCAGCAGGAGCCTTGCCATCGTCGGGAAAAACGGGAATCTGGCAGGGAAAAGTGGGAAAAATGTGAGAAACTTGGGAGGTTCCGTTGGGTTTTGGGCGTTGAAAACAAGTTTTAATTCCGGGAGGTTGAGGGAAATCGGTGGAGAGGGAAATCCCAAAGTTGAGAAGAAGAAATGGGAATCTGGCAGGGAAAAGTGGGAAAAAAGGTGAGAAACTTGGGAGGTTCTGTTGGGTTTTGGGCGTCGAAACCGAGTTTTAATTCCGGGAGGTTGGGGGAAATCGGTGGAGAGGGAAATCCCAAAGTTGAGGAGGAAAAACGGGAATCTGGCAGGGAAAAGGAGGGAAAAATAACAAAAGGTGAGGAATTGGGGAGGTTCTGTTGAGTTTTGGGTGTTGAATTTTGGGGTTAGAACCCAGTTTTAATTCCAGGAGGTTGAGGGAAATCGGTGGAGAGGGAAATCTCAAAGTTGAGAAGAAGAAATGGGAATCTGGCAGGGAAAAGTGGGAAAAAGGTGAGAAATTTGGGAGGTTCCGTTGGGTTTTGGGTGTAGAAACCGAGTTTTAATTCCGGGAGGTTGAGGGAAATCCCAAAGATGAGGAGGAAAATGGGAATCTGGCAGGGAAAAGGAGGGAAAAAAGGTGAAGAATTTGGGAATTCCGTTGGGTTTTGGGCGTTGAAACCGAGTTTTAATTCCGGGAGGTTGAGGGAAATCAGTGGAGAGGGAAATCCCAAAGATTTCCTCCCAAAGAGGAGGAAAAATGGGAATCTGGCAGGGAAAACAGCAGAATTTGGGAAAATAATGGAGAAATTTGGGAAAATAATGGAGGAATTTGGGAAAATAATGGAGGAATTTGGGAGGTTCCGTTGAGTTTTGGGCGTTGAAACCGAGTTTTAATTCCGGGAGGTTGAGGGAAATGGGTGGAGAGGGAAATCCCAAAGATGAGGAGGAAAAACGGGAATCTGGCAGGGAAAAGGAGGGAAAAATAACAAAAGGTGAGGAATTGGGGAGGTTCCGTTGAGTTTTGGGTGTTGAATTTTGGGGTTAGAACCCAGTTTTAATTCCAGGAGGTTGAGGGAAATCGGTGGAGAGGGAAATCTCAAAGATGAGAAGAAAAAATGGGAATCTGGCAGGGAAAAGTGGGAAAAAATGTGAGGAATTTGGGAGGTTCCGTTGAGTTTTGGGTGTAGAAACCGAGTTTTAATTCCCGGAGGTTGAGGGAAATCGGTGGAGAGAGAAATCCCAAAGATGAGGAGGAAAAACGGGAATCTGGCAGGGAAAAGTGGGAAAAATGTGAGGAACTTGGGAGGTTCCGTTGGGTTTTGGGCGTTGAAACCGAGTTTTAATTCCGGGAGGTTGAGGGAAATCCCAAAGATGAGGAGGAAAATGGGAATCTGGCAGGGAAAAGTGGGAAAAAAGGTGAGAAACTTGGGAGGTTCCGTTGGGTTTTGGGGGTTGAAACCGAGTTTTAATTCCGGGAGGTTGAGGGAAATCGGTGGAGAGGGAAATCCCAAAGATGAGGAGGAAAAACGGGAAAAATCCATGGAAATCTGGTGGAATTTGGGAAAATA